GTAAGAATGTGTGGGGGACAAGAGAGGACCCAATGTTCTTCTGTCCCCTTGCTCCAAAAGTGGCACTTTTCAACCATATTTTAAAGTCACAGTTGTTAAGGTGGTCATTGAGGATGTTAGAAGAAGTGGAATGAAAATGCAAGATGCACAGTTTCTCACTCCGAGGCTTGCTTCAAATGCCAGAGTTCTAACAAGTCTCCAGTCTAACAAGTCTTCCCCAGTCTCCAAAGAGACGCCAGTTCCAGGGCCAGAGCCAGTGTAAGAATAATTGCACTCAAAGCCTTCCTTTGGGGCTCCTATTTTGCTCCTAGATTATAGACTAAGGACATGGGAACTCCATTAGCCATCCATCCTTCTTCCACCTGAAGAAAAATAAGTTAGTTCAAATGGTGGACTGAGCCAACACAGCTATGTTGTAATGTAGCCCGCGAGTCACAGAAGGACGCCTCAAGAAGTCGAATTAAAGAGTCACATTTATTGCAATCTGGGACTATGAGGGGTCATTCCCAAATCTCATAGTGATAAGATGGTGGCAAAGCCAGACTTATATAGGAAAAGATCACAAAGGTATTGATTACATCTCAAGGTTTGGAATGAGGAACCTGGTTTGCAAAAAAAGCAGTTTACAGAAGCAGAATTAAGCATGTTAATTACAGTTTTGGGTCTCCGGATCACTGAGTTGACAGAAACACATTATCTGGGACCACTGAGTTGCCAGGAATTCATTATCTAGAGCCATGGAGGCAATTTAGAGTAATTGCACTGTCCTGGTCTTGGGACCACTGAGTCAACTGGAACACATTATCTGTGGCCACTAAAACAATTTAGGATAATTGTGCTGTCCTGTTTCCCAGGTACAGATGAATGTGCTTTCTAAAACCAGTAAGATAACAATCAATGGGATAGTCATTCAATCGAATGGGATGATTTATACAATTCAGAAAATCAAAATAACTTTTCTATTGTTAAGCCAAACAACAGGGTTAAAGTTAAACTACAGTTTCTACCTGAGATGATTGCTACCATACTTCAGCTACTCCCTCACAAATCCCAGGGAAATGGGATACATAAAATAAGACTAAGTCCTAGGCATTACCTAGAAAATGCCGGTTGAGTAGAAAATGAAGAATTAGCTTCTAGACACATGGAATTGCTTCCCCACTCAGAAGTTTGTACAGGACATATGCAATTGGAAGAACAAGAAAGAAATTAAAAGATTATCAGTTGGTGTAATTTAAACTTAAATCAAGAATGACAGGCATTGATTTCATGAACAAAAATGATATCCAGAAAAAAAATATTTCACACAAAAAGGCTTAAAAATAGAAAGGTTACCATAAAGTTTATTTGTATATAATATAAAAACTCAAAACCATAGTTGACTTGAACAAAAGAGGTTTTTATTCACATAAAATAAGCCTAATAAGTAGTTCAGGGCTAGTATACCAGGAACAATGTCATCAGAACCCTAAACCCCTAAATTTCTGTCCTGTCATCTTTAAGACATCTGACAGTCCAACAGGGCTGCTGGAATTCCACCCATCATGTCCAGATAGTAGAAAGGGCAAATGAGCATTCACAACAGAGGTAACATCTTTTAAAGCAGCGGTTCTCAACCTGTGGGTTGTGACCCCTTTGAGGGTTGAATGACCCTTTCACAGGGGTCGCCTAAATACATCCTGCATATCAGATATTTACATCACGATTCATAACAGTAGCAAAATTACAGTTATGAAGTAGCAATGAAAATAATTTTATGGTTGGGGGTCACCACAACATGAGGAACTGTATTAAAGGGTCAGGGCATTAGGAAGGTTGAGAACCACTGTTTTAAAGCAAGTCCTTGGATCCCATTCAACACTTTCACTACTTCTCACTAGCCGGAACCTAGTCACATGCTCATACTTAGGGCAAGAGAGGCTGGACATTTAGTCTCATATACTATATGGCAATGTATGCTGAGCTGAATATCAGAGCTGTTTCAAAGGAGGAAGGGAAGTGTGGGTACCGGGAGGCCATTAGCAGTATCTGCACAGAATAATAGCTTCCTTATTAGAAATATCCAGTATTTTAAATACTCAAATTTCCTCAGGTAAATCTGCAAATTAAAAAAAAATCTTTTTTAAATTTGCAAATAAATTTTTCCCTTCTAATTTAAAAATTTGAGGTGAAACTTGATACAATAAAACACACAGATCTTAATTGTAACAGCTTAAAGAGTTTTGATAAATCCAGGACACCTGGGGCAGAGCTCCGCCCTACCAGCGGGGTCCTGGGTCGGGGAAGGATCTTGGTCCTTTCTGCCCTGCATCACAGCAAGAGAGTCCCTTCTACCTGGGGCTGGAGAGGGTTAAAAACGCCAGCAGTCTGCCCCTCTAAGGGCGAAACTGTAGCCCTAGACGAGGTGTGGGTGGGAGGAGGGAGCCCTTCCATGTCACACACACAGCCAGGGCACAGCTTCCTTATGTACGCAGAGCTGGGGAGGGTGGGGGTGGGGGTGGGGAGAGTAGTGGAACAGTTGTGGCTTAAGTGCCACAGACTCTCACTGTTCTTGCCTAGATTTAGTAGATTTTCTTGAATGAATATTTCTCCATTTGCTCTATGCCCTCAGGACAATTTCCAGAGACTTGGAATGATTTATTAAAACATATATTTTTCAGACACAAGAAGTGAATTCAGGAAATTGGTGAACCAACTAAAGAAGAGAACTTTGTAGCCAAGTATCTTCAATTCAATTGTCCAACAAAACCCACCAATATGATGGGTCACCCGGTTGATTATTTTATTGCTTCAAAAGCAGTGGATTGCCTTTTGGATTCAAAGTGGGCAAAGCAAGAAAGGAGAGGAAGCTTTATTTATAAGAGATTCTGTTGTTGACTACTGCAACAGACTTTTAAAGAAAAAATTTTTTTCACTGGGCACTAAAAATAATGAAAATGAAGTATGATAAAGACATAAAAAAGGGGAAAGGAGGAGCTGAAAGTGGAAAGGAAGAACATTAAAAGAGCAAGAAAGAAAATCTAAAGGATGAAAAAACCAAACAGGAAAAAGAAAAGAATAGAAAAAAAAAAGATGGTGAAAATGAAGAATCCAAAAAGGAGGAAATTCCAGAAACTCCCCAAAAGATAGAAATTAAGAAAAAATTCAAGCTTGAGCCACATGATAATCAAGTTTTTCTGGATGGAAATGAGGTACTTGTGAGGATCTATGACCCAGTTCACTTTAAAACCTTAGTCATGGGGTTAGTTCTTATGATTGCTTGCATAGGAGCCACCCTCTGACTGGCAGGAATGAGAGTAGGTGTGAGTGAAGGCTGTTTTCTGGCCAGCATCCTTCTCCAAGCTGTTGCTCCTTGCATTCTATTTCTCGTCATTTGGCTCATAAGTGAAGGAAGGCACCTCTTTTGGTTCTTGCCAAATCTGACCGCCGATGTGTCCTTCAGGCCTCATCTTAAAGAAAGATGAGAAATCTGAAACCAAAAAGCAGCAGAAGTCCAACAGTGAGGAAAAGTCACAGTGAGTAAAAGGAAGATGAGGGGGGAACAATAGGGCTAGGAATCATGGACTAGATGACTCAGGTGGAGAATGGCGTTCTGACACAGAGAGTGACAGGCGGGAAGATGACTGATCCCACACAGTAGTGGAAATGGGAATGATTTTGAAATGATCACAATAGAGAAACCAGAACAACAAACAGGTGGGAATCATGAAGAGGAGGAAGAAGATGACAATGATGGAGAAACCACTAAATCTTCACATGAAAAATCATAATCTGCCCAATTTGGGGACTAAAAAGACACAAGAGGTTGGATTTTCTATGTTGGCTGATCATCATGATGCACAGAGGATATCTGTGGCATTCTTCACACCCAGTTACTGAAATGTATTTAACATCTGAGGACTATTCATTCCTCATTCCACAGAACACTATGATGGTATAGTCAAAGGCCATTGATCAGTTTTATCTATTTGAAAATTTACAGTACTAGTAAGTAGGTCTCATTAGTTATCAAAGGTTCACTTTCCACAATGATATTTAGATTAATGGCATTTTTGATAGTCATATGGCTTTTTACTGTTAGATTAATCAAAAATAACTAAAAGGGATAAAAATGAAACACCAACACTTCAGATTATGTGTAATTATGGAGCCATTTCATAGTTTCGTTACGATGAAATGTTTAAACTCATGGTTTTTGATAATTAAGCTTTTGTCGATTATAAAATTATACCGGGAAATTTCTAAGATTCTGAGTTAACAGGGTTCAAAAGCATTTTGTGGAAACAAGCCAACTAGTAATACTGCAACAGCACTTTTAGTTTAGCTACAAATTCTCCTTTTGCAACTTGGGAATCCAAACTGGTTTGCACACCTGACTTGGAGAAAGGTGCCATCTCCGCCCGCAGAGCGAGCAGCGCTGCTGGAGGGCGATGGCTCTGCTCCCGTTTCCTTGTCCTAAAGTAAACTGTGTTCTGTGTGTAATTTACAGACAAACATTGTCTTTTAATTGTTACTTGTTATTTAGACATTTTCTTAACAGTTACATTTGTAAAATTAAGGTCATTTAAGGGTATGTTTTTAGAGAAATGAAAGGTTCCGTAACCCACAGAACATCTGTGATCTTTCTACAGTAGCTTCAAGTTTCATGCCAACATTCCATGTATTTGAATGAGTTTAAATGATCCTGTTAATTAAGAATGGACTTGAAGTAGCTGTTTGTATGCCTTATTGCTCATTTTGATTTCTCTTAAATCTCCTCATGTGGAAGTGGGGTACTGTATTACCCGACCAGGAGGCACTGCTATAAGAGATAATTTACTGTTCTAAAATATCAAATTAAAATAAAGAGCAATATATATATATATTAAAGAGCTAATATGCTAATTAGGCCGAACAGCAGAATGACTGTCTTGACGACCTGCCGGCCGCCCTTGAGCCGGGGCCACGAGGCGCGGAAGACGGAGCCCGCGCCCCCGAGGC